TGGCTAAGGCCTGAACATCCATCGCCATAGGCCTCTCCGATGCTGGTAAATAAGCCAAACTCCCTAAACTCTCTGCCCCGTGACTCAAAGCATCGGCCACCACATTGGCCTTTCCCGGGTGATATAAACTAGTGATATCATAGTCCTTTAGCAACTCTAACCACCTCCTCTGGCGCAAATTTAGATCCTTTTACTTGAACAGGTGCTGCAAGCTCCGATGATCAGTATAAATCTCACAAGAAACACCATACAAATAATGATGCCAGATCTTCAGGGAGTGAACAATGACAGCTAACTCGAGATCATGGACAGGATAATTCTTCTCATGTACCTTCAACTGCCTGGACGCATAGGCAATCACCCTACCGTTCTGCATCAAAACCGCTCCAAGGCCAATCCTCGAGGTATCACAATAGACAGTATATGATCTCGAACCTGTAGGCAATATCAAAACTAGGGTTGTAGTCAAAGCTATCTTGAGCTTCTGAAAGCTCGCCTCACACTCTTCCGTCCACTAAAATGGAGCATCCTTCTGGGTTAGCTTAGTCATAAAGGATACAATCGATGAAAACCCCTCAAAAAATGATGGTAATAACCCGCCAAGCCAAGAAAACTACAGATCTCTGTAGCTGAAGATGGTTTGGGCCAACTCTGCACTGCTTCCACTTTCTTCGGATACACCTGAATACCCTCACTCGATACCACGTGGCCTAAGAATGCCACAGAATCCAACAAAAACTCACATTTCGAGAATTTAGCATATAACTTCTTTTCCCTCAGAGTCTGGAGCACTGTCCGCTAGTGCTGATCATGATCTTCCCGACTCCGGGAATACACCAGAATATCATCAATAAAGACAATGACGAGCGAGTCAAGATATGGTCGTAATACACTATGCATCAAATGCATAAAGGCTGCTGGGGCATTGGTCAGCCCAAATGACATAACAAGGAACTCGTAATGACCATACCGAGTCCTGAAACAGTCTTTGAAATATTTGGCTCCCAAATTTTCAACTGATGGTAACCTGAGTGCAAGTCAATCTTAGAAAACACATGTGCGCCCTGAAGCTGGTCAAATAGATCATCAATACGAGGCAAAGGATAATGGTTCTTCACTGTAACTTTGTTCAACTGGCGATAATCAATACACATACGCATAAAACCACCCTTTTTCTTCACAAACAAGACAGGATCACCCCAAGGTGATACACTAGGCTGAATAAAACCCTTATTAAGAAATTCCTGTAACTGATCCTTCAACTCCTTCAACTCAGGAGGGGCCATACGATACAGAGGGATAGAAATGGGCTGAGTGCTTAGCAATAGATCAATGCCAAAATCAATATCTCTATCGGCCGGATGCCCGGAAGATCAGCTGGAAACACATCAGGAAAATCTCGTACTACTTGGACTGAATCAACTGTAGGGGTATCAACACTAACATCCCTCACATAAGCTAGATATGCGTCACACCCCTTCTCAACCATTCGCTGAGCTTTAAGGAAAGAAATAACTCTACGGGGAGTGTGATCTAAGGTACCCCTCCACTCAACTCTCGGAATACTTGGTATAGCAAGCGTCACAGTTTTGGCGTGACAATCAAGAATAGCATAATGGGGCGACAACCAGTCCATGCTCAAGATAACATCGAAATCTACCATGTTGAGCAATAACAAATCAGCTCTGGTCACAAAACCACTAAGAGCAATCAAACATGACCGATAAACGCGGTCCACAACAAGAGAATCTCCTACAGAAGTAGAAACATAAACATGGGTACTCAAAGAATTTCGAGGTACACCCAAATGCATGGCAAAATAGGAAGACACATAAGAATAGGTGGATCCTGGATCGAATAAAATCAATGTATCTCTATGACAAACCATGACAATACCTGTGATGACAAAATCAGAGGCAACAACCTCGGTACGGGCAGGAATGGCATAATATTTGGCCTGGTTGCCCCTCTAGGGTGACCTCTACCTCCTTGGCCTCCACCTCTAGCTGGATGAGTAGGTGGTGTAGCAACTGGTGTTGTAATCATAGCTTGAGAACTCTACGGGGCACCCTGTGGCTGAGAAGTCTGTGGAGGTGTACCCCTCATGAGTCTGGGGCAATCCCTCACCATATGGCGCGTGGCACCACACTCAAAACAAGCTCTGGGAGGACGTGGTGGCTGTGACTGGATTAGCCCTGGTCTGTTGGACTAACCACTAAAAGCACCCAGCGCAGGAGGCGCACTAGATACTGGAGGTGCATAATAAGGCTCCTGATGCCTAGGAGGAGCTGAAATACCACTAGCTACTGGAAGAGCTGAATGAACAGGGCGACCCATATAAATATATACGGATCTCCCAAGATACCATCATGTAGTCCCAAATATAAATATCTAGTGGATCTCCAAGGATACCATCCTGTAGTCCAACTCATAATGCGAGGAGATCTCCCAGAATATCGATCCGTAGTCCCAAGTGTAAATACTCAGTACAGGGGGAATCTACCAGGTGCAGTCCCGTAGTTCCAATGTAAATGTGCAGGGGGATCTCCTGGAATACCGTTCCGTAGTCCCAAAGTAAACATACACGGGGATCTCCCAAGATACCATCCCGTAGTCCCAAATTAAACACACAACAACAACAAGAAGAATACACAGTTCAATTCAAATTCCATACCAAGGTAAAACAAGTATTTCTAGCCTAGCATGCTGCACGTAACCAAATAAGGCAGTTTGAGCAAGTAAAACAATTAAGTCAATTAGACATGCTTCTCTAAGCTAACAACATATTAAATTGCAAGTAGTATAAACAGGAAAAAGAAACACAATTAAAATTACTTAAAGAAAAACCGGATTTTTCAACAATTAGTACAAGTACGTACTCGTCACCTCACGTACAAGGCATTTCAAATATCAATAATACCAAATCCTAAGGGGAGTTCCCCCACACAAGGTTAGGCAAGCCACTTACCTCGAACCGACTCAAAATCAACCCGAAACCACGTTCTTGCCACGAGTACTCGACTCCAAATGACCCAAATTTATTCAATTAAATTTGATAATGTAATTAACACTTCAAGTAACTGATTCAACAAACAAATCCTAAGCTAATACGCGAAATTAGGTAAAATGACCAAAACGCCCCTCGGACCCACGTCTCAGAATCGGGTAAAATTTACATTTTCAGAATCCTCATACTCTCACGAGTCTAACCATACCAAAATTATCCAAATTCAGTGTCAAATCCCCAATCAAAACTCGAATTTTTGGTCTAAGAACTTTCCCCCAATTTTCATACAAATTCCAAAATTAAATGATGAATTCATGTTTAGATTAATGGACTATAAGAAAAAAAGTTAAGAATCTTTACCCAATTGATATCTTAGAAAATCCCTCAAAACCTCGCTCAAATCCGAGCTTCCAAGCTCTAGTTTTCACAAAAATGGCTAAACCCTCGATTTTGAACTTAAACATTCTGCCTAGGCATGTTCCTCTCCGTGAACGCGAGACAACGGTCGCGAATGCGATGCACTAAAGTTCCACTGGCTAGTCTCCCACTTCGCAAATGCAATGCCCAAGCCATGAACGCGATGATCATTTCTCTTCTCTTACGCAAACGTGCGACTACCTTCGCGAATGCGTAGGCACAAGGTCCCATATCCTCGCGAACGGGGGAGCTCCTTCACGAACTCGAAGCATTAATTCCTCACCATCCCTAGCTCCTCTTCGCGAATGCAAGACCCCACTCACGAACGCGAAGAAGGAAACCAGAACTGACTGCTGCAACATTTTTCTGCAATTTCTAAGTTCCAAAAATGACCCGTTGAGCATTCGAAACACACCCGAGGCCCCCGGGACCTCAACCAAACATGCCAACCAATCCTAAAACATCATTCAAACTTGTTCCGATCTTCGGAACACTCAAAACAACATAAAAACACCAATTAAACAACGGATTCAAGCCTGAAAAATCCAAAAACTCTCAAATTACGCTTTCGATCAAAAAGACTATCAAACCTCGTCCGAATGACCTGAAATTTTGCATGCACGTCACATTCAACACTACGGAGCTACTCCAACTTCCAAAATCCCATTCTAATCCCGATTTCAAAATCTCACTATCGAACCGGAAACTTCAAAATTTGTCCTTTCGGCATTTTAAGCCTAAATAAGCTACAGACCTCTAAAATTGAATCTAAACACGCCCCTAAGCCCGAAATCACCCATCGGAGCTAACAGAACCGATGGAATTCCATTCCGAGGCCGTCTTCATACTACTTTGACTACGGTTCAAATTCTAAAGCTTAAGCTCTCATTTAGGGACTAAGTGTCCCACAACACTCCGAAACTAAAAACTAAACATCCAGGCGAATCAAAATTAGCAGAAACAAATAAGGGTAAAGCAGTTAATAGGAGATCGGGGCATAAATTCTTAAAACGACTGGCTGGGTCGTTACAATTCCTCCCCACCTGGTGGAAAGGGTGACCTTCACTAAGAAGGGTCTTATGTACGTTTATACGTACCCCTTCACTTTGGGCCCATTCTGATTGAGCGGGGGACTTGACCCCGTGATCTTGGAATTTTTCCATCAGTATCAGGTCTGCTTGGCACAAGTAGGCCCTTCTGTGTGTCGAACGGTGGCTAGTCTACACCGGTTGTGCTTGGAAATGGGGGAGACCCTCACCTTGGCATATATGATGATCCTCAATTCCCCAAAATCTTCCGTCGGGGAGTAATAAATTTTAGCAAGAGACCTTCATGCTTTGCTTACCAGGATGGATGATGACAATGACCGTGGATAGATGGAGCAATTTCTCATTGTTGTGACTAAGGATATCATTCCGTCCACAACTCCATCCTTCCCTGAATCATGGAATCGTTCGCGTAAGTTTAAAATCTACCCCTTTCTCCAAAAAAGGCCATTCCATGTCATTTCTAACCCTTTTTCTTTCGTTAATTTAGCTACTCGGTGGACACCGTCAAGGTTTGAAGGCCTGGACCGATGGCTTCAGAAGATTCTGGATATCACCACGCTAGATACTCATCGGTGGAAGAAGTTGGCCCCCAAATACTGATGGAAGGCCATGAACCACGGTAAACTGACTCTTCCTTCATTTCACCTTTATAGATAAGAAAAACTACTAACCTTGCCTTTTTGTTTAATTTAGGGCTCCCGTAGGGTTTTGTTTCCTGCCCTGAAGAAGATGTTTTGGCCAATCCCGTAGAGACTACAAGGTTGTTTCATGAGGCTCTCACTCAGACCGATGCCCTCGGGTCTGCTTCCGGTACAAGTACTTCGTCTCGGAGGCCCTGACTAGAGAAAGGGCAACCAATAAGGCGGCGTTCTTCCTCGGGTGGAGGTAAACATAAAAAAGTAAATAAGGCCACGCTCGAGCCAGCTGCAATCACTGTGGTTATTGACGATGACGGGGAATCTAGTGATGAAGAATCTTCCCTCGTAAGGAGACAACGGTCTTCTTCAACTCAATAGAATGCTCAATCTGGAGAGCTTGAAATCCTAACCGAGGGTGAGGTCCGAGCTCTCTAGGAAGAAATGGATTTAGTGGAGAATGTTGATTCTCCCTTTTCGGTTCAGTTGTTGCTTCCAGACCTATGAGGTCGGATACCAGGCCTCTTCTGCCTTTGGTTGGTGAGCAACCAACAAACAACATTGCCTTTACCGCAGCTGCTTCTCAACCTATAACACCATTAGCTTCATCTCCCTCTACACTAGTTGTGCCTTTATCACCAACAGCTGTTAAATCTCCTCCCCCGACCGCAGATGACCGAGAGGAGGATGTCCCTTCTCCCAAGTCCCTTGAACATGGCACGACCGATAACCGCATTCTTTCTTTCTGCACTACTACAAAAAGGCCTTTGTCGGCAATACAAAGTGACTTTAGCCGCAATAACAAAAGCCGATGTATCTTTTACCGGCCATTAGTGTTTTGCCACTGATGTCGGGGTCGGCAAAGCCTTTAGTGGTGTTTCTAGAAAACGCTAGTAAAAAGTGTGATTTATTGTCGCTAAAAATTATTATCTTTAAAGGCAATTATTGGCGGCAATTATAAGGGCTACTAAATCCAATCCAAAACGGCTAACTATACATCTTTAGCATCTATTTATATAGCAGCTAAATTCAAATTAATTGCTACTAAAATTTTGCAGCTCTAACGACAATTGTTTGCATGTCACGACCCTAAAACCGACGATTTACATAGGGGCTAGTCATGCCTCAGAACTGGCGAGCGAAATGCAAAAGCTCAAAACGACCAGTCAGGTCGTTACATCCTCCCCCACTTAAACATACGTTCGTCCTCGAACGTGCCCAGAGTTTTTCCGAAAACCATCAAATCGCTGTGTAACCTTACCGTGCACATACCCGGGGGTGATCTCACGTCACCCTATCTCAAATAGGTCTGATAACACAATGTAACTGAAATTTCACAATCCAACCTAGCCCATGAACCTTAGAACCACATTTCCACTTCTGAAATCATCTACAAGATCAGAATCTCACATCTATGCTCTGAATAAGCTTGAACAAGCTATAACAAACCATACCCGCAGCCTCAGATGCAATTATATGATATACCACATAGCTCAAACTCTCGTAGCGATAACTCCTGCTCACAACAGTTGTTCAAAACAACCGAATATCGATAATAAACCTCTTATCAAATAAAGCCTCATCCCAACACTTCTGTATACTGCCAATGATAAATGAAACACGTAGAAAGTCATAACCATTCATCAGATTAACTATTCGTGAAGCCACTTCTACTTTGGCAAGGACCATAGCAAATTTCTGAGCCTAACCTCGATATTATCCTTCCGACACGCTGAAACCGAATCCGTTTGTATTCATTCTAGATCCCAACAATCTCATCTAATCCAACACAACTACTTTGGTGACTTGACACATCAATACAATATAAATCCACAACTCGGGCAATCCGCGCCCCAATAAGCGACAATCCGAACGTACTCAAATAAGAAAAAATGACTCAAAGGAGAGAGCTATACCGCAAGCTCACTAGTACCACCATACACAATGCTGAGAACCCATCACACATCATAGAAACAGAACACACAAATCTAACCCGAAGGATCATATTTCTACATAACTTTATTGCAATGCGCGACCCTATCCAAACACTGGTCCGCATGAAACACTTCAAGTCACTATGCTCAAAATCGAGAACCACGCACAATTTGACGTCTAGAACCAAAAGCAAATCATCATTACCACGGTGAAGCAATTGACATAACATTACACAAACCCGAAAGCACACAACCGATATGCCATTTGCCGAGCAGTACCCAATACTCTTCCCGCTCGAATTCCATTGAGAGAATCCAATAAAACCGCACCACATGTGCCTATAACCAACAAATCCTAACGCTTCGCAATGCGAAAAGGTAACTCATAGATCTCCCCAGATCACTAATAAGCTCAATAACAGTCGAATCAACACATCCCTCAACAATACAACTCGGAGTCAACCAAGCCGACTCGATGTATAACACACATCCATATTGGCCTACCAATGAACCCCTTATCAGGGAGTTCCTAAAGCTTCTCCTTCAACTCTTTTAACTCCACCGATGACATACGATACGGTGCCCAGCACCAAATCAATACCGAAATCAACATCCCTGTCCACTGACATTCCCGAAAGCAAGAAATACATCCAGAAAATCGCTCACCACCGGAATTGAATTAATGGAAAGAGTCTCTGCCCTGACATTCATCATGAAGGCCAAATAAGAAAGACAACCCTTCCCAGCCATCCGCTGGGTCTTCAAAAATGAAACCCACCCTACTGGGAGCATAATCCGTCGAATCTCGCCACTCAATTTGTGGCACTCCCAACATAGCCAACGTCGCCGTCTTAGCGCAGTAGTCCAGAATAACACGACACTAAGACAACCGGTCTATACCCAATATCACATCCAAAATCTAACATATCAAGCAACAAAGGATCTACTCGGGTCTCCAAACCCCCGATAGCCACCACACAAGGCCGATACACGCGACCCACAACCACAACATAACATGTTTATGAGAACTTCCAGTCTCCAAATCCATATAGCACACGAATCACCATATCCGATCCTAATTCCGCCGTCTGAATACATACCACACCTCTAATACCCAATCATTCCATGAGAGGTACCCCAAAAATTCTCCTATGCCACCAAGCAAACTCGAATCTCAGCAGTCGATCCAACAAGAGAGAGCCGCGATACCAATGATGTATTATTAACTCAATTATATTGCCCCTTCTCACACGCATGCCCTCATTAAGCCACCTCAATTAGCAATAGCATTTGCCTAATCATCTGAAACTGCCCATGATGTCTAAGAGTTTATGACCCTTCCTTTCAGAACTGAACCATGACCTTACTCATGCAAATCTCAATCCTACACAACATACCGCATATACCATACCATCTTAGGATAAACATGAGAACTTCATAACCCTTTCCGAGCCACAAGCAACCACGTACTCAACTAGCCAAGAACTTTTCATTGATCCTATCTAGAAGAAAATCACTATACATACCATGCTCCTCACGCTCATAGAAAATATACATCTCTAACCGTGGTAGAATCTATCAAGAACTCTCCTAATTGTATGTGCAAAAAACTAAACCGTCAGGACTGAATCCTTCTAACTTAACCAAGCTATGCATGCCACTAAAACCCAAGAGCATTGTCGCGAAACACCTGTAGAAACTCATTACCTCATAAGCATCCAAAAAACTAATTATATCCTTACCACGCTGATCCGACCTACTATCAAGTTATCCCATCTATCCAAGTTCATTCTGATTTACCTTCAACTTGATACTTCTTCTCGCTATAACACCACAATCCTCGACCCAGACTCGCCACACGAGACCCAAACATAAATTCATATCGTCCTACGGTTCATAAGCCATTGACTACTCTCTCAAATATCCCCAAAAGCACCACATTCGAAATACTTTCCCGGAAGAGACTTCATGCGAATCTAAAGCCACTACCTTCACCTTTCTGATACTGATGTGTAGAATCCATAATGATATAGACATACCACGAGTCTTGGCACCCTCTAATGCAAACTTCAGTTTCTAGCAAATGTACAACCTGAAAATCTCCAGTTATTACATGTAAAATCTTGAACCCATTAGAACCATTCTCGAGAGTCATCCACTCTACTCAAACCACAATTAGACCGATCAAACAGACCGAACGAACTATGCTCCATTAGCACTCCGACATCGCAAAAGGTAACCTCACCTTAATGCAATCAAGCAACTTCTTGTTCTATGCACCGTACATCCTTTACCAATAACAACTCAAGTCATTCCGTGATTCTCATACACCCATAAACCATAACATACCCTTTAGTGAAATTTCATTTACTCGAGCCATCCTCGGTCTCAACCTCTATAAGCCATAACTGATTCACCAGTATGCCTCAAACTGGAACCAACATAGCATATAAACGTGCAATCAACTAATCAATATCAAACTCCTCCACTTGGCTCAAAGCCATAGATCAAAACACACGATAACTCATAATACATATACTCCATTACTGTCATAATACCATAGTGAGATTAAACTCAATCCTTGATAAGCTCGTGCAACACAAACCATCTAGTACTTCAAATCTTCTTCAAATCTCACATTCACCCTTGTAATAGTTAAGCCAACTCTTTTAAGCGACCCAAATTCAAATTGCAACACATATACTTCAGTGGTAAAAGATATCCTCCAACAAACAACATAAGGATCACACAAACTTCAGAACACTCCGCAGGAGATAACCCGCCTACTTCTCCTCAAACTAATAGCTCTTCAAACCCTTCCACCATCACAAACATTACGCAATCACTTAATCTTCCTGAGTTTGAACTCATAGCGCAACGTGAAATCTACTTCACTCCCCAACTAGACAACATGAAACGATTCTTCACACACCCATAACTCGGGCTATACATCAAATCAAGATGGAAGTCAAGCACCAAATAGTTCTTTCTATCCTAAAGCAGACCCCTCTAGTCACATTCAAATCATATGAATATATCTCACAGTAACCTCATACTCATCACATAGCCATGCAGTCATCACTTCTACTGATAGGGACACTACTGAGCAAATAAATCCAGAAGCAGATGCTCACACAATCAACGCCTTAGCATTCAAGCTATAGGCCAAACCTGGCCTCAAGTCCTCTAGATTGGCCCAACATCAACACACGGAATCACATCTCGCCCCTCGATCAGGGAATTACAAGCCATCTATGCACAATTGATACCGAGCGCTCATGCACGCATATGAATGCGTGGAAGGAAATTCAAAGAGTTACATTTCAAGCTGAATCAAGGACGCACGATAAGAATTCAAGAATACGAAGTTTTTCCTAAAGGTTCTGCAGCATCCCGAGGATAAGTGCAAACGTCTCCGTACGGATCCGCGCGACATTACTAAACATGCTCATGACTCGTGAGACCTATGTAACCTATGCTCTGATACCAACTTGTCATGACCCTAAAATCGAAGATTTACATAAGTCATAATATATCACATGGGGCTAGTCATGCCCGAGAACTGGCGAGCAAAATGCAAAACTCAAAACGACCGATCGGGTCGTTACATTGCGGCAATTATAATAGCTACTAAATTTAATCCAAATGGATAATTATACTTTTTTGGCATTCATTTTTATAGTTGCTAAATTTAAAATAATTACCAGTAAAAGTTCGCATCTTTAACAACAATCTTTCTTGGCAATTAAAATGGCCGTAGTTTGCCTTCTTAAACATGTTTGTCCTTTTAGCGTCCATTTTAAAGGCTAATATGATTAACTAAATGGCTGTTGAAAGTCAATATCTTTAACGATAATTCATTTACATCAATTATAACGGCTGTAATATCCCTTGTGAAAATATCTTAATTTACCCTTTTATCGTCCATTTTTATAGCTGGTATATTAAACTAAATTAGCACTAAAAGTCACAAGCGATAATAGCAATAATTTATCCACAATTAATAATAATTACTACATTTGTATAGAATATGACCCAAAAAATAAAATATATAAATATTAATTCAAAATTAACATAATATATCTCATTAAATCATAACAAACAAAAGAAAGTACTAATCAAAAACATTAATATCATATTAAATTAAAACATAAAAATATATTGTTTGGACTAAATAGCTAATGTCATCATATTACTAATCCAGACGAACGATGGTCTTCAAATGATTTCCGCAACTTTTCATCATTTTAAAATCTTCAATCGCTAAATTATCGAACATCAGAATGTATGAGCTGAAATTATAAAATAATTGTGTAAAAGGATAAAGTATATTATGAAAAAACATCTTGAAGAATCCATCACCTTAGATTCCATTATACAAAAAAATGAAAAACAAACAAAGAAAGCTCTATAGACATCAACCATTGTTCTTGTCTTATCAATAACCTTAGCACAAAGGTCTAGAAAGAATAAAACACAATCAAGACTCAATGAGACCTGTTGTTGATGAACAAAACGGACTAATGTTCCTGTTGATCATGCCTTAGCTAGGATGTTTTCAAATAATTAGTCCAAAGTGTCTGGCATTGATGTGATATGCATCGGGTACACATGTTTGTATTTATGATTCAAGAATATATGGAAGAATACCAATCACTGAAGAAAACAAATCATTTTTTTGACCACTTCATTTGAACCAATAGAAGAAGAAAACTTCATTTGTTTGGTAGAGGTACTGATAACAAACAATGCATGGTCTCCTTTAAGATTAGAAGGTACGCTGACGAATTTCTATGTGATATAGTACCCATGCAAGCTTGTCATATCTTGGTGGGGCGCCCGTGGTAGTATGATAGGAGTGTTTTTCATGATGGGAGGAAAAATAGATACTCTCTTGAGTATAATGGCAAGAAGTACATTCTTGCACCTTTAACTCCTTCCCAAGTGAATGAAGATAAAAAAAGATGAAAGAATCAATGCGGAAACATGGGGAGGGATCAAAATGAGAGACTAAAAGGAAAGAAAAAGAGGGAAAATATGAAGTGAGGTATGAGGAGAGAGAGGGCAGCAATGAGAGAATGGAAAAGGTAGGGAAGAGTGAAAAAAAGCATTGGTGAGAGGAAAGAGGCTAAGATTAAAAAAAAAGTGAGCCTTGTAAAAGCCAAAGAGTGTTTAATTGCAAAAAAAGAGGGGCTGCCTATTATCTTGCTCACTTATAAGGAAGTTCTGCTTAATAATGATTCACTAACATTATCTTTGCCTAGTGTTATTTCTAACCTTTTGCAGGATTTTGAAGATGTTTTTCTTGAGAATCTTCCTAAAGGTTTACCACCTTTAAGAGGAATAGAGCATCAAATTGATTTTGTGCCAGGATTACAAATTTCTAATAGGCATGCTTATAGGAGCAATCCCGAAGAAATAAAAGAATTGCAAAAACAAGTAGATGAGCTGCTTGATAAGGATTTGTAAGAGAAAGCATGTGTCCCTATTCTGTGCCCGTGCTTTTGGTACCAAAGAAGGATGGAACTTGGAGGATGTGCGTGGACTGCCGCGCCATCAATAAAATAATGGTAAAGTATCGCCATTCTATTCCTCGTTTAGATGATATGCTTGACCAATTGCATGGGTCTCAAATATTCTCTAAAATTGATTTGAAGAGTGGATATCACCAAATTAGAATGAATCCTGGAGATGAGTAGAAAACTGCCTTTAATACTAAATATGGATTGTATGAATGGTTAGTGATGTCGTTCGGGTTAACTAATGCACCTAGTACATTCATGATGTTAATGAACCATATCTTTAAGGATTTTCATGGAAAATTTGTAGTTGTTTATTTTGATGATATTCTTATTTTTTCTAAATCTTTAGAAGAGCATGTAGAACATTTGAAATAAGTTTGTAATGTGCTTAGGGAGCAACAATTGTATGCAAATCTATCCAAATGCACTTTTTCTGTAGATAAGGTAGTTTTCCTGAGTTTTGTTGTGAGTTCTAGAGGTGTTGAAGTAGATGAAGATAAAATCAAACCGATTAAAGATTGTCCTACACCTAATAGCATTACTGAAGTTAGAAGTTTTCATGGACTTGCTAGCTTTTATAGGAGATTTGTTAGAGATTTTAGTTCAATTGCTGCACTTTTAACTGAAGTCCTTAAGAAGGATAAGGTCTTTAATTGGGGAAAAGAACAAGAGCAAGCATTTAATATTTTGAAGGATAAATTGTGTTCTGCTCCTTTGTTACAATTACCTGATTTTAATAAGTCTTTTGAAATTGAATGCGATGCATCTGGTAGAGGTATTGGGGCTGTTTTAATGCAAGATTCTAAACCAGTCGCTTATTTTAATGAGAAGTTGAATGGAGCTACATTGAATTATTCTACTTATGATAAAGAATTGTATGCCTTGGTAAGGGCTCTTGCTACGTGGCAGCATTATTTGTGGCCAAAGGAGTTTGTGATAAAAACTGACCATGAGTCTTTAAGATACTTGAAAAGCCAAGGTAAATTGAGTAGAAGACATGCCAAATGGGTTGAATTCATTGAGACATTTCCTTATGTGATTAGCTACAAGCAAGGTAAAGACAATATAGTTGCTGATCCGCTTTCAAGAAGGCATGCTCTTGTTTCTAATCTTACTTCTAAATTGATGGGATTTGATTATATTAAGGAATTATATGTTGATGATTCTGATTTTGATGTAGCATTTTCGGCATGTTTAAATGGGATTTTTGAGAAGTATAATCTGAAAAATAAGTTTTTTTTAAAGAGAATAAGCTTTGTGTCCCTAATTGTTCTTTGCGAGAAGTTTTTGTGAGGGGAGCACATTGTGGGGGGCTTATGGGACACTTTGGTGTGCCTAAAACACTTGATATCCTTGCTGAAAATTTCTTTTGGCCTAATATGAGAAAAGATGTAGAAAACTTTTGTGTTCCATGCCTTCAATGCAAACAAGCTAAATCTAAAGTGTTTCCACAGGGTTTATACACGTCATTACCTGTGCCTATTTCACCTTGGATTGATATTTCTATGGACTTTGTGTTAGGGCTGCCTAGAACAAGGTATGGTAAGGATAGCATCTTTGTTGTGGTAGATAGGTTCTCAAAAATGGCTCATTTTATTCCTTGTTTAAAGACTAATGATGCTTCTCATGTTGCTGATTTATTTGTTAGAGAAGTTGTTAAATTGCATGGTATACCCCGAACTATTGTTAGTGATAGGGATGCTAAGTTTCTAAGCCACTTCTGGCGTGTGCTTTGGGGAAAATTGGAAACAAAATTATTGTTTTCTACTTCATGTCATCCACAAACTGATGGGCAAACTGAGGTAGTAAATAGAACCTTAGGAAATATGTTAAGGGCTGTTCTAAAAGGAAAATTAACTTCTTGGGAGGATCACTTGCCTATGGTAGAATTTGCTTACAATTGAACTGTTCATTCATCTACTGGTTATTCTCCTTTTGAAGTTGTTTATGGCTTTAACGATGCCCCTTGACTTATTGCCTTTGCCTACTAATGAGATGGTTAGTCTCAATGGAAAAAAGAAAGATGATTTGATGAAGACTATTCATGAGCATACTAGACTTGCAATTGAAAGGAGGAATGAGCAAATAGCTTTACGAATAAATAAAGGTCGAAAACTAGTTGTCTTCGAGCCTGGTGATTTGGTTTGGGTTCATATGAGGAAGGAGAGATTTCATTTAAAAAGGAAGACAAAATTAAACCCTAGAGGAGATGGGCCATTTAAAGTACTTGAAAGGATTGGAGATAATGCTTACAAATTGGACCTTCCAGGTGAGTTTCAAGTAAGTGTTACTTTCAATGTTGCTAACTTATCCTTGTTTGATGTAGGTTCAAATTCAAGGATGAATTCTTTTCAAGAGGAGGGGAATGATAGCTCCACGGACAAGGATAAAGCTTTAGAAGTACCAAGAAAGCCATTTACAAGGTCTCAAGCTAAGGAGAATCAAGACAAGGTTGTTGGCCTTTAATGGGAGATCAAGAAGACGCTAATGGTGGAAGAAGAGCTCAAGAATTATGGAGAGGATTTAGCTAAGTTTTACACTCATTTCATGCTCTAAGTCCAAGTCCAAGAGGAGGTAGATTGGGGTCCAAGCACCAGTCAAGGAGGGCCTAAATTAGGCGCCTAAATCAACTCACAAAGGAGCCAACTTGGCGCCCAAGTCAGCTCAGGGAGGGGCGCCCAAAACATAGGAGAAGGAGTCAACATTCCTTATTTTGTTTCCTAGTTTGTTAGGACATATTTGATGCTTTCCTAGGTAGTTAAGGTTTTGTTTTTCTTTTCATAAGATTATTGGAATTACTTTCCAAGATTGACTTGGTTTTTGTTTCCTAGAGTTTTACCTTTTCCTATGGTAGTTGGACTTATTGTCCAAAGTAGTTTAGGACTTTATTTCCTTATTTTTAGGTAGTATTTCTTGACCCCTTCCCTATATAAAGGGGTATCTTCTTTGCTTTTAGATTCAGACTATTATCGATAAAAATTGTGAGATTTTTCTTGCACTCTTATGTGTGGCTACTCTTGGATTTATTCTTCAACCTTCAAGACTCAACTTAAGGTGGTAAGATTAAACTCTTTCAAAATCTTAGATCACTTCTAGGTATTCAAGAAACGTGATAAGTTTAGGCTTATTGTTGTTCTTATTATTCTAAAGGGTCGGGTTTCACAATCTATCTCTTGTTTTTCATTCTCTATCAAAGGTGATTAGTTCTTTGTTAGATAATTGTTGTTGTTAGGATTCAATTTCAAGAATAGACTTCTTGAATTCAAGAAACTCTTTCTTGAATTTAATCTATCTTTAATTTTTCATCCTTTTTCGTTTCCTTATTTTATTTTAGCATCCGCACGTTTCTTGACTTTCTTGTTTTTCTTTAGTAATTCTTGAATCCCCTATTGTGTTTTTATCAGGTACAGTGGCAGTGTTATGTAGAACTGTCCATCCTTATCTTTGCTCCTAGTTGATATGTATGAACCATGTAACTTTACTAGGTCAACACTAGAGTTAAGTATCACTTATACATAGGTTGTCATGGGGTTGTGATGGCAGCTACTTCTTTCTGTTATACTGGATGAGGAGTTCCATGCCTTCTTAACTTCTGAACCTAGAAACAATATACTTTTTAGTTTCTCTCCAATTCCGTTTGGAAGTTGCTATTTCGTTTCAAATTCTGCACTTAATCTCTATATTGCAGTTGCTCTAAAAGCAGATTTTCGAACCTAGAAATCCAGCCACTCCATTCAAGCACATTATAAATAGATACTTGAAACTTATGTGGATAACAAGCATGCCATTTTACCTCAAATGCCATCTAGATATAGCACAATTAAATGATTGGATATAGTATATTGACAGGAGGAAACAAAGGAATGGAGAGGCCACATTGTAATTGTCTGTTGTTAAAAGAGTGGAGAAAGATTCATTCATCAACCTCTCTGTCACCCATGACAGTTTCACTCAGCAGATTTTGCATTGTATTATTTGATCTAAGTACCAAAATCCAGAAATTGAAGCAACAGATGCTGTAGGCAAAACTTCAATATAGAAAGGATCTGAATTACATGCTCAACCTGCTACTGCATCTGTTGAGCCAGCTAAAAATTAGTTATGGTGGAGAAGCACGAATAGGAGTTACGAGGGGAAAATCCCAAGTGCAATGAGCAAATTGCTAAGCTAGGAATGAACACTTCTCATATTTGATAGGTTACAAGTACCTTGGGCACAAGTACTTTACTTTATATTTTGAGGATCTAACAAACTTACCATCCAGAACCAGATAAGGAACCTGTTACACATTTACAAGACCTTGAGATTACAAAGTTCCAGGTTAGGGTCCAGCATGGGATATAACTCAACTCTTCAGAGTGGAAGGAATAACTGAGGGAACAGGTCCCTACCAGTCCCGAGGAGACTGTATGAAGTCAACTCTCCAGCAGGAAAGTTGCTGCATGCATAGCCATCTACACAGGAACAGTGCAATAGTCAACTTTCTATGGAAGGCTTTTTACCTACCTTGCTTACATCATTGTAAGTGATGTCACATACGTATAAATACAATCAAGGAAGGTAAAATAACTTACATGCCTGGTATAATCATTCATGTTAATCGACTCAAGATAATCTGGGCAGTGTGCCCTTAGATTCACAAGAACCAGATTAGGGACATGATCCCTTGGTGTTCCCCTGACAGAAGTATAAGTCAACTGTACAACTGGAAAGCAACTGCAGAAAGTAACTACCTGCAGCTGTACACGCAACAGTGCAACAATCACTTCCCATTGAGAAGAGGCATGAACTAACCAAGATTTAACATCACTAAGGTGATGTATTTTGTAGTATAAACCTGGTGCAAGGCACAAGACATTCTCTTAACACTTGCAAAATCAGAAAAAGAAATATTATCTCAAGTGCTAGCAACAACCTCTCTCAAGAAGAAAGCTGCTGCAACCTCAAGGACCGGATCCAAGATTGAAGATATCTTAAGTCCTTAGGTTTGTTGAGTCTTTGTTATTTGTTCTTCATTGTAACACTTATCTTGCTTTCTTAGAAGCTGTTTTCGGAAAACTCAAAATCCGTAAACTCTACAGTTTATGTTGTGACTAGGTGTAGTCATAAATTTAAATCTTTGTAACTAGAGAGTTACCAAATGGCTTGTAATAGTGTTATTACTAGTTAGAGTGAGTAAAAGCCTTTGTAACTATAGAGTGACAAAGTGGCTTGTGGTGAGAGCATCACAAGTTAGTTAAAGTCTTTGTAACTAGGGAGTCACAAAGTGGCTTGTGGTAAGAGTAAGTTAGTTGAGTTGAATTCTTTGTAATAGAGTCATTGCAAAGTGGCTTGTAATATGTGTTTATAAGTTAGTGAAATTGAAAGCCTACAAGTGTAGGTCGTGGTTTTTGTCCTTTTGAGTTGGGATTTTTTCACGTAAAAATCCTCTGTGTTCTTTATTTACTATCGAGCTACTGTGGGAACAATTAGAGAACCCGATTCTCTATACAGTAGGAACTTATCCTGTGTCTCATTTATATACTGGTTCAGTAGTTAGCACTGTGGGAAATAATATAGGACCAAATCGCTATACAGTTTAGTTCATTAGTATTTTTAGTGGAAACTCATAGAGAACCCGGTTCTCTATATGGTTTGGTGGACACTTATTTTCTAACAATATTATAGCTACATGTGATGGGGAGGTGAATTTAGGTGAGGCCGTTGCTACAACTGGGCAAATTTCAGGAGGTAAAAGCAACTACTGTAATAGGTACACCAAATGCAGCCGCTACCCTTCAAAATGTTTAAACAGAGGTAACTCGAACAGTCAGGAAAGTGTATTAGCTTCCCTTCAAAATGTTTAAATAGAGGTAACCAATCCCAAAAGCAACCTATCAGGATGCTACAAGAAAGTAAGCTGCCTTCACACTCTAAGGTGCCAGCTCGGCCCAAACACATTCTAAAATCGAGATCAAAATACACATCATTAAGCTAACAAAGACTTTGTCTTGGGAAAATATGATGCTGAGAAGATTCTAAGTATCTATCCAAATGATACTTCAGCCTATATCGTATTGTCTAATATCTAAGTGGAGTTACAAATGTGGGATAAAATGGCCAAGATGAGAAAGCTGATCAAGGAAAAGGCATTAAAGAAGTAGCTATCCTGTTTATAATATATCGTAGCATTATACTCGCTAGCAAGTCATCCGCCATGTGTGTTACCTTACAGATCTTATTGGTGCTTCAAATGGTCTATGAAGACCTCAGTTTCATGACTGCTATTTCATTATCTATTGCTCTCTTATTTGATTGTTGCCTTTGTCATTTTGCATTAGGTCTAGCAGGTCATCTATGTATTATAACATATTGTAGCATTATACTTGCCAATGGACTTTTATTTCTTATGTAAATGGTACTAATACTGATAAAGTTACAATCGAATTATGGAAGCTTGTAAGTCAAAACTATATCTTGTTTCCAGTTATTCCAAGTTTACATGATATCAGATTCTAATGATAAAAATTGGAGAAAAATTCAAACAATAGAAAACTCAAATAGTAGCATCGAAGGATAAAGATGAGTAGTACCGTGAGACATTAAAGTATTTTCAACAATATTATGTATCCTTGATGTTTGTAGTACTCGTTCAGGACCACTGTTAGCATCAGGGACCTAATAAATATTAACACATTAGATGACAAAACTTTTATAGGATTGAAACTTCATTAAGAATGTCTATAACTTCTAAAATCGAGTTACCTATTCACTTGAGGTGCCATTGATATTTTGAGGCATAGATTCATTAGAAACATATTTGCGCATCAATATTATCATTTGGATTAATTCTAATTGCATCTTCCTCTGATTTTGTTTCATCAGATTCATTTCTTCATTGTGTTTATCCTTTAACTCAGTTATCTCTTGTGTTAACCTTTGTACGGCCTCATTATATGAATCCTCTGCAAAAATATTTCCTAAGGAAGATCTACTACCCTATATCACAGAAGGAGATGGACCAAGTCCTAAACCACGAATATACCCACTTTTGTCATTTCCGAACTCCTGAGAATACACATTATCTTCCCAAGAAACACTGCGAGGAGGTTGATCAGTAGAGCTCTTACTATTATTCATCCTTTCATTTATCATTTTCTGACCATAGAATACATAAATCCAAGTTGGAATTTATTTATTCATTTTTATGTTTTTTTTCTAAACTATTTCCCAATTCCGAAATTTAAATAAAAAAGAAATCTTACGATTGCCTTCGCAGAATAATCATCCAGTGGTGTACCATTCTTATGTTTTGTATGAGTTAATAAGAAAACTTGTGCTCTTGTAGGCTCTACCCCATTTACAACCTAATACAATAAAATTGATGTCAGATAAAAAAAGGATTTTAAAATATTATAATTAGTAATTTTTACAAGTTTACCTGCTCATCCATCAAGGTAACAACACTTTTGGATCCTCCTGTGTGA